AGGCCTAGGATGTGCCCAGCCTCCCTCAGGTCTCAAGGTAGAAATAGAACCGACCAGTCCCGGGTCCCCAAGAACTCAGGCTTATGAAGAGCAGACGCCACACATACAGAGAGCTCAGCAAGTGTCCCCAGTGCTGTGATGGACAGAAGCTACGTGAGGGAGCAGACTTGAACAGGGACCACTGCACTACTGCAGCCCAGAGGAATGTGCAGCCTTCCAGCCTAGGAGATGAGAGAGAAAGGGAGTTCCAGGAAAGAATCCAGCATAGGCAACCTGGGTATTTTTGTTCTCATTTTATTCAGAATAAACCAACAAATGAAAGATATACAATGTGATGTATGTACACATTATATACTGGTTATCAGTGGTTGATGAACACACCCACCCCCACAGTTTCTTTTGATGTTGGGTGGTAGTGCTGCTGGGACTACAAGGCAGTTCCCTGATGCAGAACCCCAAGTAAGAAACAAGATGGGCTAGGCGGTAGTGACGCATGCCTTTAGTCCCAGCACTTAGGAGGCAGAGGCAGGCGGATCTCTGGGAGTTCAAGACCAGCTTGGTCTACAGAGCTAGTACCAGGACAGCCGCCAAAGCCACAGAGAAACCCTGTCTCGAAAAACCAAAAAAAGAAAAAAGAAAGAAAGAAAGAAAGAAAGAAAAGAAAGAAAGAAAGAAAGAAACAAGATGGAGCTAAATACAGTGTCAGGAATTGGCATGGGGGTGGGGAGACATATGTTGGGCAAAGGATTATCTTTCCCACTTAAACAGTAAGAAGGCCTGATTCATAAACTGTAATACAATCGGCACTCCTCAGGCCGGTGGAGGGGCAACAGCTGGGAATAGTTTCCACTCTGAGCCCCCAGCAGGTGCAGTTCTCAGGGACTGTGTTCAGGCAGCAGAGAAAGGAGAGGATGGTGAGGCCCCAAGTCCCCTGCCCCAGGCCCACCTCTTGCAGCTGCTCTATGCCATCAAAACCCCCTGGAAAGCCGCCTCCCTTGTTCCCCTGATAGTAAAATGATGACAGCCTGTTTTAAAAGCTAGACTCCCACAGAAGCTAACAAAGCCGCGTGGCAAGGAACAATGATCTAACGTAGAGTCTGCTTTTTAAAGGCCATCATTCTATGATAAAGGCGGTTACTTAGTCCTTCCAAGGACCTATTAGAGGGCTTTCTTATCTCTACCTGAACAGAGAAGGTTGGGTAACTTGTACAAGGTCAGAGAGTCAATAAAATGCAGAACAAAGAGTAGAAACCAGTATGTGCCCTTTGAACCTAAAAACTGCAGTCTGGGTCCCTGCAACCAGTACAAAACATGAAGTGGATTTCAAAGTGGAAGATCTATGCTGCTCCAGATGCCTGGAAGCCAAAGCTTTCTAAAAATGTATCTAGATTTTTATCTTTTTAGTGTGTGTGGGTGCCTGCATGCTACAGACACAGGAATACAGGAGGTTGATTTCCTCCACCATGTTTATGGAGATTCTGGGAACTGAACTCCAATTGTCAGGTTTGAGTATCAAGTACCCTTACCCACTGAGTTGTGTCTCCGCCCCTAAAATAATTATTTTTTCTTGTTCCTTGTCAGGTGCCCTGAACTGTTTAGTCTTGTCTCACTAATCCAGAAAAGCACACACCTGCATGACACAGAGTCAAGGCACTTTCTCTGCTGTGCTGTCTTTACAAAAAAATAAAAAAAAACAAACAAAACAAAAATGTAACTTATTTTTATATATTTATAAAACCAGCAAACAGCTGTTTCTTGTTCCAATCCTTCCACACAAGTGTCAAATCAGTATGAATGACTCCCACTGTCCTTGGAATTGCCCGAGCTAAAATTTATGTTTCTCTTTAAATTCATGCTTGACTGTACTCTAAATTTTGCTTATCCAGTTGCCTCAATCTCCTTCCTGCCCTCCCTCACTCCTCAGCTCGGGCCCCACACCATCCATGTGTCCCACGCTGGATTTTTCTTTCCCTCTTGAGACAGGGCTCATTATGCAGCCCAGGCTGGCTTGGAATTCAATCATTTTGCCTGAATCTCCCCAGTGCAGGGATTACAAGTCTACACCACATCTGGCTGGAAATGTAACATTTTGACAGCTAACCTTCTCTATTGTTCCCAGCTCCATCTCAGGATGTGACCTAATGTCATAGGTGCCTCAGGTCCTGGGCAGGAACTACTCCATACAAAACAGTGCGCACCCCACAGTCAAGTAAACTAACTCTCCAAAATCACAAGGGCCATTGTTTAATTGAAAGGACACATGTATAAAATTTTTTGTCTTTTTTTAAGACAGGGTTTCTTTGTGTAGCTCTGGCTGTCCTGTAATCACTCTATAGAGCAGGCTGGCCTCATCCACTGGCCTCTGCCTCCCAAGTGCTGGGATTAAAGGAATGCACTACTACCACCTGGCTCAAATTCCTATTTTTAAAAAGTTTATTTTTGCCGGGCGTTGGTGGCGCACACCTTTAATCCCAGCACTCGGGAGGCAGAGGCAGGTGGATCTCTGTATGTTCGAGACCAGCCTGGTCTACAAGAGCTAGTTCCAGGACAGTCTCCAAAGCCACAGAGAAACCCTGTCTCGAAAAACCAAAAAAAAAAAAAAAAAAAAAAAAAGTTTATTTTTGTATGTATGTTTTATCTACAGGTATGCACTATGTGTGCATATACCAAGTGTGTCTGGTGTCTTCAGAGGTCAGAAGAGGGCACTGGATTCCTTGGAACTGCAGTTAGGGATGGTTGTAAGGCACTATGTAGGTACTGGGAACCTAACCCAGGTCCTCTGCAAGAGCAAGTCCTCTCAACCATCTCTTTCTTCCCAATTCTTAATTTGGGGGCTGGAGAGATAGTTCAGTGGTTAAGAGCACTGATTGCTCTCTCAAAGGACTCTTGTTCAATTCCCAGCACACACATGACAGTTCACACATATCTGTAATTCCGGTTCTGGGGAATCCGAAACACATAGACACACATGCAAGCTAAACACCAATGCTGCTTCTGTGTACAGCATCCTGTTTTTCTCATTCACTGACCTTTGGCTGATGTTACGATGAATGCAGGCTATAGAGAAGTCCCGGGAGACCCAGCTTTTGGTTCCTGCAGGTAGATACACACAAGTGGAATGCCTGGCTTACAGGGATAATTTAAAATTTCCCATTTTTTTCATTGTCAGGTGATCTAAATGCATAGGCTTGGTCTGCCTCTGATTAACCCAGAACTGTACACATCCATAAGAGCCAAAGTCCAGCCATTTTCTCTGCTATGCTGATAGCCACAAATCTTTTCAAGCAATTTCATAAACAAAAACATGATTTATTTCTAAACTTTCACAGTCCCACCAACAGTGCATAAGGGTTCCAGTTTCTCTATATTTGAGTAGTAGTGTTCCTACTGGGGTGTGAGGTAGTATCTTGGTGTGATTCTATTTTGATTAGATTTTCTTACAGCTTTTGGTTCACAACAAAGTTGAGACAATACAGCAATTTCCTATGTACGAAGAATCAGCCCTTACACAGACACATCCTGACACCTTCAGCAGAAGGCACGTTATAACTGATGAACCTATGCGAACACACCATCCCCAAAGTCCTCGCTTACATTAGGGTTTACTCTTATTCTCTTATTTCACATTTTAACAGTTTGAACAAATGACTTAAGACCTGTATCCACCATCAAGAGTACTGTAGCCAGGCGTTGGTGGCGCTCGCCTTTAACCCCAGCACTTGGGAGGCAGAGGCAGGTGGATCTCTGTGAGTCGAGACCAGCTTGCTCTACAAGAGCTAGTTCCAGGACAGCCTCCAAAAGCCACAGAGAAACCCTGTCTCGAAAAACAAACAAACAAACAAAAAAGAGTACCGTAAAGCTGGGCATTGGTGGCACATGCCTTTAATCCCAGAACTCGAGAGGCAGAGGCAGGCAATTATCTGTGAGTTTGAGGTCAGCTTGATCTACACAGAGCAAGTGCCAGGATAGGCTCCAAAGCTACACAGAGAAACCCTGTCTCGAAAAACAAAAAAACCAGAACCAAAGAGTACCATACAGAGAGTGGCTTCATGACCTTACCATTCTACCATGTGAACTTTTTTTTAAACATTTTTATGTCATGTATAAGACTTTTGCATGTACCATGTACATGCCTGCTGAGGCCAGAAGAGGGTATGAGATCCCCTGGAGCTGAAGTTAGAAGGTTCTGAGCTACCATATGAGGAAAACAATCCTCTAAGAGCAGTGAGTGCTCTTATACACTGAGCCATCTCTGAAGCCTGCCACCTCAACTTTGGAACCTGTAGAACTCAGGAACTCAGCCCTCCACCGAGCCACACTGCCAGGCTCTAACTTACTGCTATCACTTTTTTGAGGACACCACTATCATACAGTTGAAATCAAGGATGTAACACTTCAGACTTGGCCTTTCATTTAGTAATATCCCTCTACATCTTTTGTGACCAACTCATTTCTTTTTAGTGCTAGTCATTCCATAGTATCATTTACCCTTTCATCTACTGAAGGACACCTTTGCTGCTTCCAAGTCTTGGCAATAATAAATAAGGTTGCTATGAAAACTCACATGCTGGCTTTTGTATGAGCATACTTCTAATTCCCCTGGGGAAATATAAAGAGGCAAGATTACCAAAGACACTGTATGTTTGTTTTTGTTAAATACCGATCAACTGTCTTTCCATCACTGTTTTCATGAGTCATGCAAGTCCCTGCCACTCCACAATGCTACCTGCGTTTCAGCTTCTGCAGTCACAGCAGTGTGCTTGGTGCACTTTGCACCCCTCCTGCCTTGCTGCAGAGCACATCTCATGCACACATTTGCCATTTCTGCTTGGTTTTTGTTGTTGTTTTTGAGACAGGGTCTCACTACATACTCCTGGTTAGCCTGGAACTTCCTATGTACATCAGGCTGTCTCTGCCTCCAAAGTAGGCCACTGCACACAACTTTGCTATCTTTTAATCAAATTGATTGTCTATTTTTTTATATTTCTTATTATATTCAATTTTTTTTTTTTTTTTTTTTTTTTTTCTTGGTGTGTACTCCTGCATGGAGGTCAGAGGAAAACTTGCAGAAATCAGTTGCCTCCTTTCACTGTGCGGTCCCAGGACAGCAGAAGAGTCCATGCTGTTTTCATGTATAGCTGCTCCATGATTATCTTTTCCTATGTTTGTTGGCCCACAGCAGCCAATCACACAAAACATTATTTTCAAGACATTCTAAAAACAAGCCTAGTATCTTTTAAAATCTCTCTCTACACTTAGGAAAAGCCCTCCCTGTATCAACTTGAGAGGGCAGCTGGCTGTGCTCATACTGCTCAAAGGCAAGCTTGCCTTCTAGAGCAGCTAACTTCCAGACAGGAAGAGAGACCAGGGTAGTGACAGATACAATGGTCCAGCTATCAGAGGAAAAGGCCAAGCTCGCCCCCTGGTGGCAAACAGAGACAATAGAAGGAAAAAATATTAAAAAGGCACACACACACAAAGGCAAAAAAAAAAAAGTGCAGCCACCATGATGAATACATTCCATCCTGCCAGGGTCTGGAGAACAAGAGCTCAACAGATTAAAAAACAGTTCATTCATCTTGACAGTTTGACATGTTCAGTCCTGCCTGGCATAGTGGTACATGCCTGCACCAGGGGCTGAGGCAAGGCTGAGAGTTCAAGACCAGCATAGGCAGCACAAGGGCCTGTTCAAAAAAGAAGTCAGCCAGTGGTGGCCCATAAGCACTCAGGAAGCAGAGGCAGGCAGATCAAGGACAGCCTAGTCTACAGAGGGAGTCAGTCCTAGGACAGCCCGGGCTGTTACACAGAGAAACCCTGTCTTGAATCCCTACCCCCAACCCCCAACCATACACACAAAGAAAAAGGCTCTGTTCAGAGGACACTTTGTGCTATCCTGTCACTAACTCCTAGCTGGAGCTGCTTTAGGACTCATCTGTCTTCCCATGAGGAGCAGAGGCAGCTGAGGAGGTTAATTTTTAAGTTGGATTTGTCTTGTCTAGAGGAGGGGATGCTTTGGTTTTGTCTTGTCTAGAGGAGGGGATGCTTTGGTTTTGTCTTCTTTGGCAAACCAAAGGCACACTATAACCACCCTTCAACCTTCATGTGGTATACAGCTCCTGATCCTATCAATCTGTGGAAAGGTCTGATTGGAAAGGCAAGGAGCCCACACCGTGGTTATATAAGGCAGAGGGTGGCAGTCGTGACTGCTGCTGTTCTTACCTCCTCAGGACCTCTGTTATGCAAATTAGGATACTTTGTAATTTTCAAGCTCTTCCAATAGCTGATTCTTTGAGGCCTGTGGCTACTAAATTTCCCAACTTCTCTTTGTCTCCCCAACCCCAAAAGACTATGGCTCTACAGTTTGCGGCTCCTATTTTTCAGAGGTCCAGTTTAGAAATTAAGACCCCCATAACATGCGTGTCTGCACAGAATACACACAAAGGATTGTTTACTAAAACACACACTTCCAGCCACTCCCAGCAGGTGACACTCTGGAGCAGATAGCACTGACTGACCTCCAAGGGCTTATCTGGTCTCACAGAAGAGGTGCCAGTGTCAAGCTGTCTGTTGCTTGGAAGGGAGAGTGGATCACACATTACCCAAATGTTACAGGTTGGACATTTTTCTGCTGTTCTTTGTGCAGCTGCTGGGCCCTGTTTTTCAGCATTTCGGCCTTGGCCTCATCCTTATCAACACCATCCCCCAGTTTGTACATTCGGCTGGCATTTGCGCAGGCCCAGACGTGGCCCAGGTCACAGGCCTTCATTGAATATTTACATGCCAGACCCATGTCCTTGGGAAAGCCAGGGGCACCCTGTAGAAACATGGTGCTGAGGTTGAAGCAACTGGCTGCATAGTTGCCATCACAGGCCCTGGTGTAGTAGTCCCTGGCCTTTCTCAGGTCAGGCTGGCCATCCTCATTGATCTGTCCATCATGTGCCAGGAGTCCAACATTGTGACAGGATTCCACAGACTTCTTCCCTGGTTTCTCACAGGCCATCAGAAAGCAGGCAGATGCAGCCTTTAGGTCCTGAGTCAGGCCACCTACAAACAGCAAACAAAGAAAAAGTAAACTCAAGGGCTGGGCAGATAGCTCAGTGGTAGAGATCTTGCCTAACAATGTCAGAAGTCTTGGGTTTAATCCCCAGTACCTCCCGCTACCCACCAGCCAGGGCTGAACCTATCTGTTTCTGGCCAAGGTTAGGGAATAATCCCTCAGTCAAGTCCTGTGAGCTGAAGTAACATGAAGGAAGGCAGCCAGTGTGGTAGCCATGGAATCTTTGGTTCATGTGCTAGCTTATAGGGAAGCCAAGACAGGAAGAGACATGTCAACTTAAGAGCACCAAGGACTACCACATGGGGCTATAGTGAGAACAGAGCATTTCTAAAATAAGCAAATGAATGTTTCTTAATCTAAATATATAGTTGGCCCTACATATTTATGAGTTCTGCATATGCAGATTCCATTAGTTATGAACACTTTTATAGCATTCAAACCAGACAGCAGCTGCAAATTTAACCAACCATGGACTGAAAACATTCAGGGAAAAAAAAACACGTCTGTGATAAAAATATATGGACTTTCCCCTGTCACTCCCGGAACAGTACATGGTACAACTATTTACATTAGTGTTTAGACTGATTAGGTAGCACAAGCAGAAACTATTTGAAGTGAGGAGAGGGTGGGTGGGTGTTTATACCAATTCTCTGTGCACAAGAATGGGAAGCACCTAAGCATTCTGATCCTACAAAGCTCTTGGAAATAATCTTCCAGGGCAGACCAAAGGGGGGTGGGGAGCTAACATGTGTGTGGTACATGTCTTTAATCCCAGCATTTGGGAGGCAGAGGCAGATGGATGCCTGTGAGTTCCAAAACAGCCAGAGCTACCTAATGGAAAGACCCTATTACAAACAAAACAAACAAAGTCAAAAAAAGCTTAAGAAAAGAAAGAAATGTCACGGGGACTGGGAATGGTGACATATGCCTGTAACGCTGTAGCACTGAGGAAGCAGAGGCAGGAGAATCCAAAGTTTGAGATCATCTAAGCTACATAATAAAGTTGTTTCAAAAAAAAAAAGTAGCATTCAACCTTCTCTTATGTATTCAGTGTGGTGGCTTGAAAAAAAAAATGCCCCTCAAAAGGAGTGGCACTATTAGGTGTGGCCTTTTAGGGTAGATGTGGTCTTGTTGGAGAAAGGGTGTGTCATTGTGGAAGTGGCTTTTGAGGCCTCATATATGCTCAAGCCACACCTAGTGAGACCACTTCCTGTTGCCTGCATGAGATGTAGAACTCTCAGTTATCTCTCCAGCACCATGCATGCAGCCATGTCCCAACAGTGATAATGGACTGAACCTCTGAATTGTAAGCCACCTAATTAAATGTCTTCCTTTATCATCATCATGGCGTCTCTTCACAGAAATAGACATCCTAACTAAGGCAGAAATTGGTATCAGGGACTGGGGTATTGCTATGATAGGCTGGGCCTTGTTTTAATTTGGAATAATATGGACTTTGTGAATTTGGGTTAGGAAAGCAATGGAATCCTTTAAGCACTGCTTAATGGGCCATACTAGTAGGAGCAAGGAAGATAGTGGTGCTAAGAGTTATTTGAGTCGTGGGAGCCTGACTCAAGGGGTTTCAGAGGAGGAAAATATTAATATGTAGCCTAGAGATTGTTCTTGTGATATTTTAGTGAAGAATGTGACTGCTTTTTGACCTTGTCCGAAGAGTCTGCCTGAGGCATAAATGAAGAGATAAGGATTAATTCTCTTGGCAGAGGATATCTTGAAACAGCCTAGTATTGACTCTGTGGTGTAGTTATTACTAGCTCTCTTATAAAGATTTACAATGAAGAGGAGCAAGCTGAGCAAGGAAAAATATTTAAGGAGAAAAGGAGCACCAGAAAGTGGACCTCAGGACGAGATCCCACCCAGTTAAGCTTTCAATTTGTGAAATGGAATTAAAGAAAGCTTAGAGCTGGATGTGGTGGCACATGCCTTTAATCCCAGCACTGGGAAGGCAGAGGGTGGCAGATCTCTGAGTTTGAGGCCAGCCTGGTCTATAGATCCAATTTCAGGTCAGCCAAGCTTAGGCAATGAAGGAAATCATCAAAACCAGAAAGTTGGTGAAGATGTAACTGAATGAGGGAGCCTTTTCCAGCTTCAATAAGCAGTAGAACTTGGCAACTTCAGCCACATGGTTCTCTCTGGCTTTAGAAAAAAAGGAGCCATGGAATTTGCCTCTGCATCTAAGGAAAGCCGATGAGGCCAAGCATCTGTCAGGGTGTCCCTGAATGAAGGCCCAGAGAGGTCATTGTGTGAAGCTGTGAAATTGATGACTGGATTGCATTGGAGACCCCAAGATGCTGGAGATGCCAGAGGCGTGCGCTACCTACCTGTCAAGGAAAGCTGCTAACAGGGAGTGGAACCAGCCCAGGAGAGAGAAGTGTGTTGCAGTTAACAAAGCTGAAAGGAGTTAGAGATCTGAAGAGCATTTTAGTATCAGACATGGAGATGCAGAGTTTGGAGTTTGCCCAGCAGATTTTTTGTCTTGCTTGGTCTAATATTTTCTCACTGTGCTCCCTTCCCTATGTTTTGGAATGGTAATGTATATCCTATGATATTATATGTTGGAAGTATGTGATCTGCTTTTTGATCCTGACTTACAGTTAAGGGAATGCATGAATCTCAGAAGACACTTTGAACTTTTTTAACCTGTGAGTACAAGTGAGTGCCTGCATGTATATCTGTGCATTACATGCATGCCTGGTACTCACAGAGGCCAGAAAAGAACATCAGACCCCCTGGAATTAGGGCTACAGATAGTTGTAACTGCCATGTGGGTGCTGTTAATGCAACCCAAGTCTCCTTGGAGAGCAGCCAGTGTGAACCACTGAGCCACCGCTCGAATCCTTTTTGGATTCTCTGTTGGGTTACTTACCCTGAAGAAAGCTAAAGGCAGATTTTCAGGAGACTCAAGCACAGCAGAGAGACATGGAGAGTTCAGTCGCTGGGATCAAAGGTCCCTGACGATAGCTGACAGAAGCCAAGGCCTTTGCCATCAGGCCAGTAAGTCAACATCTAAATGGCAACTTCAATCAACCTCCCAACAACTGCAGTACTACTGCCCTTGCCAGTGTTTTGACCAAAGCATCCAGCTAAACTAACCCCAAATTCCTAACCAACAGAAGCAAAGAGGGAAACTTGTTATCTGGCAATACTTAGCGTTACTTAAAATATAATGCCAATTAGGGCATGAGAAAAAAATACAAGGGCATAATTACTCAGTTTTTATTCTGTGCTCTGCATATCCTGATAGCTTTACTATATTTTATTTTTAAATTGTATTTATTTCAAGCATTTTGCCTGTGTAAATGTATGTGCACCATGTGTGTGCCTAGTGCCTGAGGTCAGAAGTTGAATTCTCTGGAACTGGAGTTACAAATGGCTGAGAACCTGGGTCCTCTGCAGGAACAAGAAGTGCTCTTAACAGCTGAGCCAACTCTACAGCCCACATACTGGTATCTTTACCTGAACTGCCTGAAGTAACTCCATTTTGTCCTAGTTTATCTAACGCCATCTAACTGCTCCCCAGCACCACATCCTGCGGAGCAGGAGCAGAACGCTCTCATGCAGCTTCCGGAGGTTCATTGTTTTACAACAGAAAACAAATTGTTTTTACAAACTG